CCGGCGCCCACCCCCCGTCGCATTGCGTGGTCTGGTGGCATGGTAGTTCCGCCCCTGTATATATATGTTAAACACCTCTGTCTGATTACATAAAGTGCTACACCTCTGTGGGAATACATAAAGTGATACGCCATTGGGTGATTACATAAAGTGCTACAACTCTGTGTGAATGCATAAAGTGATACACCTAAGTGTGAATACATACAGTGCTACACCTCTGTGTGAATACATACAGTGCTACACCTCTGTGTGAATGCATAAAGTGCTCTAGTGTATTGTGAATGCATAAAATGCTACAGTGTATTGTGAATACATAAAGTGCTACACCTCTGTGTGAATATTGAAAGTGCTACACCTCTGTGTGAATGCATAAAGTGCTACAGTTTATTGTGAATACATAGAGTGCTACACCTTTGTGTGAATACATACAGTGCTACACCTCTGTGTGAATACATACAGTGCTACACCTCTGTGTGAATACATACAGTGCTACACCTCTGTGTGAATACAGATAGTGTAACAGTGTATTGTGAATGCATAAAGTGCTACAGTGTATTGTGAATGCATAAAGTGCTACAGTGTATTGTGAATGCATAAAGTGCTACAGTTTATTGTGAATGCATAAAGTGCTACAGTTTATTGTGAATACATAAAGTGCTACACCTCTGTGTAAATACAGAAAGTGTAATAGTGAATTTTGAATGCATAAAGTGCTACAGTGTATTGTGAATGCATAAAGTGCTACAGTGTATTGTGAATGCATAAAGTGCTACAGTGTATTGTGAATGCATAAAGTGCTACACCTCTATGTGAATACAGAAAGTGCTACACTTCTCTTTGAATAAATAAAGTTCTACACCTCTGTGTGAATACATTAAGTGCTACACTTTTGTGTGAATGCATAAAGTGCTACAGTGTAGTGTGAATGCATAAAGTGTTACAGTGTATTTTGAATGTATAAAGTGCTACACCTCTGTGTGAATACATAGTGCTATACCTCTGTGTGAATGCATAAAGTGCTACAGTTTATTGTGAATACATAGAGTGCTACACCTTTGTGTGAATACATACAGTGCTACACCTCTGTGTGAATACATACAGTGCTACACCCCTGTGTGAATACATACAGTGCTACACCCCTGTGTGAATACATACAGTGCTACACCCCTGTGTGAATACATACAGTGCTACACCCCTGTGTGAATACATACAGTGCTACACCCCTGTGTGAATACATACAGTGCTACACCCCTGTGTGAATACATACAGTGCTACACCTCTGTGTGAATACATACAGTGCTACACCTCTGTGTGAATGCATAAAGTGCCTTTTCGCTGAGTGCTCGTGAGGGTGTAGCCGCTGATGCAATTTGAGATGGAATCTCAATGAGAAATGTTCAAGCCGTTATAGGGTGAGACGCTGATCAAGCATGAAATCACCATGCCAGCCTGGGCGATTGTTTGAAGATAGAATGGAATTAAAATGTCAGCACCCATAGTCGCGACTACTAATCAGAGAGCCGAGGAGACTTTTTATCTCACCGATGAGTTGCTTCAAATAAATTCAGCCTGTTTCTCTTCTTTCTACAATCGGAAATAAAAATAGAGTTGCCTTCGTTTTCTGACTTGCAATTTTAATGTCATTTCTTCTTTTTTTTTTGGTAGATTTGTTTAATAATAGCATCAAGATCGTTGAATTAAATTTATTATTAATCAGAATATATATCGAAAGAATGATTAAGAATAAGTAGTTTATATTCTTGAAGTGGAAGAGTTGTCAAAGGGTATCTTCTTTGTTAATATATTGTTTGTGTGAACAAATCTGGTCCTAACAACCAAGATCTTTGAAATATAGTGCCGCCATCGTTTACGTTTCAATAACTGGTAGGCTAGTTCTTTTAATAAAATAGTCAGAATAAACCGGAAGTGATCTCCTCTAAACGTTCTCGAATATTCTGATATAATTTATAATCCTACGGGGGATGGCAACTCGGGATATAGACATGATTTTTAATCCATTTTTAATTACTTAAACTTTTCAAAATAGAACAGAATCTCGAAGAAAAAAAAGTTAATGCCAAACAATCTGTGTATAACAGTTCGGAATATTATTAGTATTTTATAAATTCACATGCTTTTTTTTTTAGAAATCGGAAATAGCGTAAATAACTACTTCTGATCAACGGAAATTACTCAAAATTTGATAGAAGGCAGATTATTAGATCTTCTACTTATTTGTGAAATTTCGTTTATCTATCTGAAATAGTAATCAAGTTGTAGGCTTATTCTACTTTTGGTTTTTCAAAAGACTATAACAGTAATCACACAGACATACACACACACACAGAGAGACAGAATTGCAAAGCCCAGTTTTTCCGACTCGATTACGCATAAAGCGCAGAAAGTTTGATACATCTGAATTTAGAATTTTTGCCCAATTAAAATAAGTCCCCTATACTCTGTACATGGTGAAATACTGAGAAGTAAAACGGTGAAAGCTGTCAAAATTTCATGTGATTTTTGTGCAAGATTACGATACTTTCTCTATACTCTATATACGCGAAAGTAAAATAGGTCAGTAAAATATATTTAAAGCATATAAACTACTAGCCGGCCAGATCCTGCACTGACCTCTGTAAAAAACAAACCTATTTGGAAAGGACCATGACTCGTGTATTTATTAAGCAGCATATACCTGGCGTTCCCCCGGGTTTAGGAAATATATTACTTTTCGAATTAACCCTAGCCACAACCAACCAAAACCAAAACATAAACGCAAAAACAAACGAAAACACAAACTCAAACGCAAACGCAAACCCAAACAAAAAGGCAAACACAAATATAAAGGCAACAACAAATACAAACACAAAGATGAGTATAAACGCAAACACAAAAACAAACACAAACGTAAACACAAACGAAAACGAAAATACAAACCCAAACCGAACGTAAGCAAAAACGCAAACGCAAACAAAAATACAAACAATAAACGCAAACATAATCGCAAACACAAAACCAAACACAAACACAATCGTAAACAAATACAAAAATGCAAACGCTAGCGGAAATACAAACGTAACCACTAACGCAATCACAAACACGACGCAAACGCAAATGCAAAGCTAAGCGCAAACAATGATACAGAACATAAACACAAGCTTAAATACAAAACATAAAAGCTCACAGTATAGCCCGGGATGCCAAATCGCACCCAACCGGGGTGCCGGCGGAACTACCTTATTCACCCTAGTCAATGACTATACTACCCCATGTTATTCATCGTTAAGCGCACTGTTTGAAACGAACGCAGTTGCCATAGCGCTCACGGAAAGGCCAGAGACACCAAATAGCACCATGTGGGAGTGCCGGTGGACGCTATAAATTCGTTTTAGTTAAGGTCTATAGTAACTCTTTTTATCCATAGTCTATCGCACTGTTTAAAACGAATGTATGCGCCATAGCGCTAACGGGAAGGCCCGGGGCGCCAAATCGAACACATGCCTGATTCAATTTAGTGAACGACTAAAATACCACATGCTTGTCCGCAAACGGAAAGATAGAAGTATAAATAGAGGACATTTAGGAGCGGCTTCTAAACTCGTATTGATTAATGATAATAATTAGTAAACAGTACGTTCAGAGTATACAATAAATAAAAGGCAGTATTTAAAATATCGTGTTTTACCTATAACATTGCACTTTATCAATCCATGCTAATTATAGAATGATTTTTTTCCAACACTAAAACAAACTAATAAAAAGTATTTTTCCCTTTGATGTAGTGTTTTTTTTAAAGAGAAGTAATTTTTGTGTGTGATCTATAAAGGGAAGTCATTGGCAAGGGAAGTAATTGGCAATAGAGGTAGAAAGTGAAGTAATTTGTACATTTATTTTTTATTTTTGGGAATGATGATACATATTCTTTGACTTTATTTATTCCAAATGACTTTAATTTAAAATTATTCGTTTGAAAAATGAAATTTATTTTACATACTTTTATATAATAATTTTTGAAAACCATTAATTCAGATAATAAACACTAGGATTATTAAACTGTGGCTATGAAGTTGAGTTTGGTTTAACATTATACATATCTCCAAACAATCCGTCCGCCACAACAAACAGAGCCACATAATACGTTTGAGTTTCAAAAAAAAAAAAAAAAAAAAAAAAAAGAAAAAACCTTTGAGCTGTATATATTAGCTTAAGACAAGATTATTTACTGTTTGTCCAGATGATCGTGTTGTAGAATGTCCCTAAAAGATAGTTTGGTTGAAACAATTAGTTGCTGCTAGATCTCTCGTAATAGGTGGTGTGGTTTAATAATGAGTGATGAGACATAAAGGCGTATTTCTACCTGTAAATGTGCTTGTTTTACTTGTAGTGTGAGCATATTGCTACCTGTAAATGTGCTTGTTTTACTTCTAGTGTGAGCATATTGATATCTGCAAATGTGCTTGCTTTACTTCTAGTGTGAGCATATTGATATCTGCAAATGTGCTTGTTTTACTTCTAGTGTGAGCATATTGATATCTGCAAATGTGCTTGTTTTACTTCTAGTGTGAGCATATTGATATCTGCAAATGTGCTTGCTTTACTTCTAGTGTGAGCATATTTCTACCTGTAAATGTGCTTGTTTTACTTCTAGTGTGAGTATATTGCTACCTGTAAATGTGCTTGTTTTACTTCTAGTGTGAGCATATTGATATCTGCAAATGTGCTTGTTTTACTTCTAGTGTGAGCATATTGATATCTGCAAATGTGCTTGTTTTACTTCTAGTGTGAGCATATTGATATCTGCAAATGTGCTTGCTTTACTTCTAGTGTGAGCATATTTCTACCTGTAAATGTGCTTGTTTTACTTCTAGTGTGAGTATATTGCTACCTGTAAATGTGCTTGTTTTACTTGAAGTGTGAGCATATTGCTATCTGTAAATGTGTTTGTTTTACTTCTAGTGTGAGCATATTTCTACCTGTAAATGTGCTTGTTTTACTTCTAGTGTGAGCATATTGCTGGCCTAGGCTTCAGAAGAGGCTCGTACAAGTGCGTGTGTAAAGATGGCTTTTATTTTCCTGATATTGGAGCCAAGGATAAGTTTTACCGGGGAACTGAGGTAGAGGAAGAGTATGAAAAGAAAAGAAAGGTAAGTTATTATATTTTAATATGAATAAGCTAGGTATATTTTAGCTGTAACTGACTCAATAGTTGTTAGTCTTGATTTGAAGAAAGTTTACAGCATTGTCTACAGCCTAATAGCCACCCTCGAGAAATAAAGCCCACGTATAATATTAGCCAACGCAACATGTCATATCCTAATATATAAAAAACCATGTGCGCACTTCTCTCTCTCTCTCTCTCTCTCTCTCTCTCTCTCTCTGTCTGTCCGCAAAATATTTTCGCCGGATATCACATCAGAATCTGCAGCGATATATGGAGAACTTGATACGGACTTTAGTTGAAAATAATATGCTAGATGTTTTAAATGTATAACCACAATTTTATTTTAAGAAGAAAAATAAAAATTAAAGGCGTATTCGAATGTAGAAAAACAATTTTAATTATGCAACCGGAAAAGTGTTTATACTTGGGACAAGAACGCATTTAACAATGACGTCGCTTATTGTTTAGTTTATACTAAAAGAGCACGAAACGTATGACGTAATCTGCCGAGATTAGAATAAAAAGAAATGAACTTTTTAATTCAAATATGATTTAGAGCTACTTACGCTATGAAATGTATACAATACGATTTTCTCGGCCTAAACTTATAAAATTCACTTCATCTATTAGGATTCTAGATCTAGATAATAACTAAATCTAGAATATTATTCTAGATCTACGCAAAAAAAAAACTAGACGTAGACGCTAAGATCTAGATTCTAGATCTAGATTCTAGATTTAGACTCTATCTACTCTAGAATCTATTCGATTAATAAATTTCTATATTAAACTATTTCACGCCTTAATTATTTTATAGACATCTTTGTTTGTTTAGCTTTGGAAATGGCTAATTTGGGATAAAAAAAAAATAATTTGAAAGAATAGGCCTATTCGCGTAAGTTAAGTTTCTTAACTAATCTACTTCTTTGATTCTTCATGTCTCATAAGGTGCCTAAATAGCTGAGATGATAGTGTAATTGATTTTAGAATATAAAGAAAGGAACTATTTCATTTAAATTTGATTTAGATATAGTTCTATAGATCTACTCATCAAGGCGTACGCTATGAAATATATACAATTTTATCGGTCAAATTAATACAAATTACTTAGATTTTTAACGGAATCATTTAAGTCTCTTAATCAGTGTGTGCATTTAATATGGTGTTCTGTTGACTAATAATGTAAATAATTTGGTTTTAATTTTTCGAATACGTATTGGTAGTCTGTTATTTTAAATGTGCCGGATTTTAGCTATTTAGTTATTTCTTTGTTTTGTCAATAATATCTCAACGTGTAGTGTTGCATTTTGATCAATAACTATTTTATAATTTACTAGCGTACCCGACCCCCGCGCGTTGCCGCGGGGATAGAAGAAAGTTTGACGAAATATATTAGAAGGATTTCACCAACGCGTTACCAATCATATGTTCTTAGACGCGTGACCTTCTTTTCTAAAAATCAGTTATTTAAATGTAAACAATTCCTGCGCTTGGATCATAAATATCAGGACACGGGTTTACCCACACTACCGCATGAAAACCTTGAGTGTACATTAATCACTCACCGAAATAATATGGTAGAACACACTTCGGTGTGTCAGAGACGTAGAGGCCCGCTCTCAGGAGCCCCCCCCCCCCGATTACACTACCGCATAAGCGCTGCGTACGACCCCTGACTCCTTAAAATAGCATCCTGTTAACAATGATGCAGATTGCGTCATTCACTAAAGTGACACAAATTAACAGGATTTGTTATTTAACACGTAAAAAAAAAATTGGACGCGTTTTAAACATCATTGTCACTGATTCAATATGTAAGCGTTAGTAATGGTCTATTCTTAGATGCTCAATCTCAATTTCTGTTTGGATTACCTAAAAATAGATGCTAATTGCATCATTCGCAAAGTTATGAAACTGTTTGGATTTTTTTACGGACAAAAAAAAAACATCCCAGTTAATAATCTAACCTTGGTTAATTTTTCTGATTATTAAAATAAAACGTATTACATGGCCCTCGGCGGCGCATGTGAGCCTTTGGGGCCGAAACAGACATTTTTATTTGCAGCCTAATCTCACCCTACCAGGGCGCCAGAGGACACGCCTGATTCAATTTAGTAAGCGTTTGTAATGCCCCATCCTATCCATTGTATATCACAGTTTAGACTGAACGTATTCACCATAGCGCTCACGGGAAAGACCAGGGCGCCAAATCACATCCTGCCGGGGGGGCGCCCATGCGAAATTAAATCCCCCGCCCCCACCACCCACATACCCCTATTCCCCCCTCCCACCCCAGAAACATTCTCGGGAGTATTCATCAACATTCTAAAGTTTTATGGCACCGGGATAAATTGCGTCGAACCGCAATCGTCTTTTATTTTTATATACCGTATATTGAGAAAAATCCCACAATACCGTGGGCCGCCCTTGCGAATTTTAAAAATGATTTTTTTACAGAACACTTCCCTGGAGTGTTCTAATCAAGTCATTAAAGTTTGATGGCTATCGGAAGAACGTTATGAGACCGCAATCGACTTTTATTTTTATATATCGTATATATAGAGGAAAAAAAATCGCGCCCTGCCGGGGCGCCACCCCTGCGAATTCGAAAATGTTTTTAGCGCAGAAACCTCCTCAAGATATAAATTCAACTTCTTCCCAAAGTTTCATGGCGATCGTGTGAACGGTGTCACGGCAAATCACTTTTATTATTTTTATATACGGTATATAGAGAAAAATCGCACCCTCCCGTGGCGCCGCCCTTGCGAAATTAAAATGATTTTTTTACAGAACCCTTCCCTGAATTGCTCTAATCAACTCCCCAAAGTTTGAAGGCGATTGGATGAACAGTGTGAATCTACAATCGACTCTTATTTTTTATATACCGTATATAGAGAAAAAACAAATCGCGCCCTGCCGGGGCGCCACCCCTGCGAATTTGATTTTTTTCCCGCAGAAACCTCCCCAGGAATATTCTTAACAATTTCCCAAAGTTCGACGGCGATGTGATAAGAGGTGTGGTAATGCATAACATTAAAAATATATAGGCCTATAAATCACGTGAAACGGGTATCGATGGCTAGTTGTTAACATAAAAGCGTGTGTGTGTCATGTGTCATAACTACAAAACTCCATAGCTAAAACATAGTAAGAATTCTTTTGACGGTAATGATCTCTGTGGTATTAGGTGGTATCAAAACACAGATGCTACACCTTAGTAAGTTTTCCCGAAGCTGCTGCTGCATACCACATTTGTGGTACCTACCTGTCAAATTCTCATTTGTACTTGACCCACTCTCCAAACAACCCAAGTATAAAACCCTCCCTCCCCCTCCCCCCTTTATTGTTAATTACCCCTAAGTCATTTAGAAAATATAGAAATCGGTTTTGAAGCTTTTATTTTCACAGCGAGCTTCACGTTCAATGTCTGTGAGTGCCAAGTCATGTCGTGTAGGGATGAGACATGTCGGGTGGTGGTGGTGAGACATGTCGGGTGGTGGTGGTGAGACATATCGGGTGGTGGTGGTGAGACATATCGGATGGTGGTGGTGAACAGGTCGGGTGGTTGTTGGTAAACAGGTCGGGTGGTTGTTCGTGAACAGGTCGGGTGGTTGTTCGTGAAACAGGTCCGGTGGTGAGACAGGCCGTGTTGTGGCAACAGGCGCGGCGGTGGTGGTGAGACAGTTCATGTGGTGGTGGTGAGACAGGTCCGTTGGTGATGAGACAGGTCGGGTGGTGATGAGACAGGTCGGGTGGTGGTGGTGAGACAGGTCGGGTGGTGGTGATAAGACAGGTCGGGTGGTGGTGGTGAGTCAGGTCGGGTGGTGGTGGTGAGACAGGTCGGGTGGTGGTGATAAGACAGGTCGGGTGGTGGTGGTGAGACAGGCCGTGTTGTGGCAACAGGCGCGGCGGTGGTGGTGAGACAGTTCATGTGGTGGTGGTGAGACAGGTCCGTTGGTGATGAGACAGGTCGGGTGGTGATGAGACAGGTCGGGTGGTGGTGGTGATTCAGGTCGGGTGGTGGTGGTGAGACAGGTCGGGTGGTGGTGATAAGACAGGTCGGGTGGTGGTGAGACAGTTCGGGTGGTGGTGAGACAGGTCGGGTGGTGGTGAGACAGGTCGGGTGGTGGTGGTGAGACAGGTCGGGTGGTGGTGAGACAGGTCGGGTGGTGGTGATAAGACAGGTCGGGTGGTGGTGATGAGACAGGTCGGGTGGTGGTGGTGAGACAGTTCGGGCGGTGGTGGTGAGACAGGTCGGGTGGTGGTGGTGAGACAGGTCGGGTAGTGTTGATAAGACAGGTCGGGTGGTGGTGAGACAGGTCGGGTGGTGGTGGTGAGACAGGTCGGGTGGTGGTGGTGAGACAGGTCGGGTGGTGGTGGTGAGACAGGTCGGGTGGTGGTGATAAGACAGGTCGGGTGGTGGTGAGACAGGTCGGGTGGTGGTGGTGAGACAGGTCGGGTGGTGGTGGTGAGACAGGTCGGGTGGTGGTGAGACAGGTCCGTTGGTGGTGAGACAGGTCGGGTGGTGGTGATAAGACAGGTCGGGTGGTGGTGAGACAGGTCGGGTGGTGGTGAGACAGGTCCGTTGGTGATGAGACAGGTCGGGTGGTGGTGATAAGACAGGTCGGGTGGTGGTGAGACAGGTCGGGTGGTGGTGAGACAGGTCCGTTGGTGGTGAGACAGGTCGGGTGGTGGTGATAAGACAGGTCGGGTGGTGGTGAGAAAGGTCGTGTGGTGGTGAGACAGGTCAGGTGGTGGTGAGACAGGTCGGGTGGTGGTGAGACAGGTCCGTTGGTGGTGAGACAGGTCCGTTGGTGATGAGACAGGTCGGGTGGTGGTGAGACAGGTCGGGAGGTGGTGAGACAGGTAGGGTGGTGGTGGTGGGACAGGTCGGGTGGTGGTGAGACAGGTCGGGTGGTGGTGAGACAGGTCGGGTGGTGGTGAGACAGGTCAGGAGGTGGTGAGACAGTTCGGGTGGTGGTG